TCTGACCTTGTGTGTAATTTGTGCTGGCGTTTAATCAGCAGATAAGTGAAAAATACGATAAGAAACCACAAGATGAAGACATGGGTTCACTAGAGTCACGAAGAGTCAAATTAATTTATCCTCTGAAACATATCAACTTCCGGTAAGGCAACAATGGGGTTTGGAAACATCCCCCCCATCAACAACTTCATTTGACTCTTTTAATAATATTACTAAAAAGGCCTTTACCAGTTTCTCTTTTGTAAATATTTGTACCTTTTCTGATTTTTGTTTTCATGTGTACCTGAGAGGATAATAATCATAATTTTGGTGTTGGATTGTTGCATGAACGTGTGAGATAAAGGTAACACAAAGTGGTTTTTACGTAGCACTTAGCGCCCTCTCTTCTTTTGTCTGATTTACAACAAAACCCCTGCATTTTTTTCAGTACTCGTTTATATATAAAAGCCACCGCACAAATGTCAACCAACAGTAAAATTGACTGCAGAAGAAAACTCCATCTTTAATCTGATAAAAACCATTTATTTGCAAGAATATTTTATTATTATTAGTTCGTGCGTCCTGTGTGAAAAGTACAGCTCTCACAGAAATTTTTTTAAAAATTGATTAATTACAGTGCTTGACAAAATCCAGCCTCTACAAACACTTATAAATATAACTGATTATCATATTTTCCGGACTATAAGTCGCACATTTTTTAATTCTTTGGCTGGGTTTGCGACTTACACTCCGGTGTGACTTATATATTAAAATATATCATTTCACGTGAATGTTAATTTCACACTGACAGCCACTAGGGTGCACTCTAAGCTTATGTACCAGTATCTGCTACTCCTGGGCCACTGAAAATTTACACGTTCGTTATTTTCACACTGACAGCCACCAGAGGGCACTCTAGCTGGCTGGTGCGACTTATAATTTGGAAAATACTGTAACTGGAAAAATAAAACTGCATTAAAATTTTAATCTGATTATTTTCAGAAAGTAACGTAATGTAATTAATGCCGTAATGCAAATGCTACTGAAAGCAAACTCACAGATTGGATTGGTACCTTTCAGGGCTAACATAGTTTTTTTTTAGGAAATGCAAAATGACTTTCCATTTGAAGCCTTAGGATTTCCATCATCACCATCAGCTAATTGGTCCAGAATGACTTATTTAGGAGCTAAAAGTGAAGTTGTCAGCTGCAACCAGCTTTTGAAAAAAAATCCTGTTCAATCAGATGCAACATTACCTGTAGTACTTTTATCATCAGTTTTTCTCTAGTTCGGATTATTACTGTCTTTATAAAAGTGTCTATGAAATAACTCTATTCCCTTTGTAAATATTTATTTATTTAGGACCAAACTGAAATGGCTAAAGTATGGTCCCATAAGTTTTTAGGTTCTGCTGAACTGGCATTGTATGAAGAATTTTTTTTTTTTAAAAGAACAACCAATGTGTGCCAAATAGCTATCTCAATAGTGCACATTTAACGCAGGCTGACATATTGTCCTTGTGCCACCAAACCATGTGCAACGAGATGGAGAGACTTGTTCAGTGTTCGGTTACGCAATAATCGCCCTTGTTTTGTAAGCACGACATACATTTTCTCGAGGAGGGTTTGTGCAGTGGAGTGCACCACTCCTCCGTTTGCTTTTCAGGTAACCGGCTCAAAGATGCTGAAGAGCTGATTCTATGTCTGTTTTTGTCTGTGAGGGCACTTAAGAGTCTGTGACGAACAACGTTCCACTGTAGTTGTACAAAATTCCTCCTTATTTACTATTTTACCTTCGCTCCATTCTTATTTCCACTCAGATATCTGTCACTATTTCTTGGAGACTTCATTCAAAATAAGGAGAGCTGAGGTATTCAGAAGTGCAGCGATCAAGTTCCGATTCCGATATCAACCGATACCAATATATGCGGCATCCTTTCCCCCCAAAACTGCGGTAAACATCTCAGGACCCCACGAGCGATTCTAGCATATTAGGCTAACCTCAGGCATTGCGTTATCGGGTTTTCGCAAATCCAATAACAATTCTCACAGATATTACATAATTATGCTAATATTGGGCCCATATTATTGGTACACACCATCCAGTAAAACCAGACCAGTGTTTGGATTTTTCCGAAGTCACGCAAAGATTTGGTTAGTTTGATCATCTGGTAGAAGAGAAAAGTAACTTTGCCGCATGTTTATGTTGGCAGTTCTTGTTATCATTAGTTACTTACTGAACTAGTCACTTGTTATCAGAATAAAATGTTGCGCTGAAGGTCTTTCAGTGTACGCTGGCAGTTGAAGGAAATTAAAGGAGTTAACAAAAATTTGTATTACCAAGTCACAATATAATATATTATTACTATCGGTTATAGTTGTACAGCCAGTTCTGCCTGCCTTAACCACCCAGCCACCGCTGCTCTTGTATGTAAGTCTTTGTCAAGCTAGATAATTTCAGAGTCAAGATGCATGATTTCACCTCATGACACAGCTGAGGTTTACACAATGCATACTGAATGCACCGAGTAAAATCATGGTCATCGCCACTACGCTGTCAGAGGATGAAGTGCTTTGACAGCCACCTTTTGGATGTCAGCAATTTTTCTTATTTGTTCAGGGACACAGAAGAATTGCCGACCAAACTTCTTTTACTTTCAGCAAATAGGGGAGCACTAAATGGTCCCTTCAGATCATGTCAAGTGAGAAAAGCAGCGGTGTTCAACCACGCTTTCTGTGCAGTGATGAAAAAATTACAGCACACCTCCGAACGCTGCTGTGAGACCACCGAGGCCCAACATTACCATTACCAATCACGCAGTGGAAATATTGATACAGAAATACAGACTAAAAATGAGTTTATGGATTTATAGCAGCAGTGGGATTCGTTTAGCTGCTATTTTACATTAGAGATTTATTGTTATTTCGTCAAATATCTCGAGTCGCCTTTTACTGCTGACAATGAATTCTCCAAACAAGACTGACTGTATCCTTGATAGATGGATGGGTGGGTGTTTAGGTAGGTAGATAGATCGATCGATCGATCGATAGATAGATAGATTGGAAAATTCAGGAAATTAGGGTATGATATACAGTCTAGTGCAGGCCTGGGCAAACTTTTTAACTCGCGGGCCGCAATTGGAGAGATAAATGAAAGATAAATGACATGTAAAAGTCATGCAAAAAGGCTAAAACGCTAAAACGCTTTGAGCCTTCGCTACAACATCTATAGGGAAAACGTGGGCGTTATATAATTTGGACAAGTTTAGCGGGCTGGATTACAAAGTGGAACGGGCCGCATCCGGCCCCCGGGCCTTAGTTTGCCCAAGCCTGGTCTAGTGTTTCCAATTGTTTAACAGAAAAGAGTAGACTCTAGAATAATTTTAATTTTCCCCATACTTGACTTCATTCTTTCTCGTTATCATTATTATGTCAAGAGGTACTAATGGGCTAAATCGTTCCTATCTTACCATTCATTACAAGCTGTAGTACGTCGCTTAAATCCTTCATTAAAGACGCCATTGTATAATGAACGTCTCTGGCTGCTTCCATTGTGTGTTGTGCATTAATAATCCCAGTTGATCAGCGGTTTCTAATGTATTTAAACCACAGCACGTTCCATGTCCTCATTTTTCAACCTTGAGACGGTTTGGACATGTGTCCGGGAGGGATAGTGAATATATTGGACAAAGGATGTTGGAGATGGTGATGCTGGGAAGGAGAAGAAGAGGAAGACCTCAGAGATTTGTAGATGTGAAAGAGGATATGGACGGAGTTGGAGCAAAAGAATAGGTGGCAGCGGTTAGGGTGAGATGGAGGCAGGTGATCCGCTGTAGCGGCCCTAAAGGAGAAGAAGAACTGGTTATCTTTTCTGATTATTTATGGCATTTTGCCAATAACGATTAATATGACTAAATATGACACAATTGCTCATGTTTTTGACAGTTACCCTGTGTTCTAAAATGAGACTTACTCATTTATTGATACCTCGTGTTGCACAGACACAATCAAATCAAAGAGGACAAATTAAGGAAAAAAAGTGATTAGTTATTACATAAAGTGTGTCTGTGCAAAATAAACAGTGACTAGACAGTAAACGGTGTCTCGGCTCCACTGCTTCCATCAGCTGTTGGAAACCCACCGTTTCCACAAGGTGGAGCAGCAGCAGACCTTCAGCAATGCAATAATGCCACGACTCGTGTAATCTCTTTCCAGCGCTTCCTTTGCTCCTGGTAGGGAACAAATTGACTCAGGTGGCGTTTACACTGCAGCGATATGACTAAAGGTCCCAGAGCTGTAGCGCTAATTCGGCCATGAGCTTTCACAAATACAGTTTTGTGGCGTAGAACTCCGTGCTCTTTGTATACGGATCCCAAGGTGAAGAAGGTGAAATCCATGGTGCTTTATGGCGACCCTAGGGATTTTTTTTCTAGAATTAGTTTTTGTTCATTTTTTTATACTGTTTTACAAGCACAGAGTTGCCAGATTAGTGCACAACGTGACATTTTATTTTCTAACACCAGCTCAGATATTTTTACAAGTTGTTTAAAATTGTGGTGTGTGGTGTTTTTTTTTATTATAATTTAAAAAAGGAAAAAAAAATAAAATAAAATTCAAGTACTAGACATTTCAGGTGACCCCATTTCGATTCCATGCGACCCCATGTGGGGCTGCGACCCCAAGGTTTAATTTAAAATTGAGGATTTGTTGTGCAGCCGTTTCAAAAGCTTGGGTTTGACATGACATTCTGTCACACACGCAGTTGCTGCCGTGGTTGTTTGAAGAGACAGATCTTTGGCAACATGCAAAGGGAGTGGCAGCAAAGGATGTGATTAAAATCAGTGGCTTCAAAACAATTTTCTTTGTGCATTTGTGAAGTTTTGAGCAAATGTTTTTTTTTTTATCCTGCAAATAAAGTTTTGAGTAGAAACAAATAAGACAATCAATGTAATAATATCAAATTTAATAATACAGTATTATCTTCTTAGTAAATGTTGATTGTCCCTTTGTTCTTTGTCGCAGGAAACCGAAATTAAAGTGGACAGAGCCTCTCTGAGCGTCAACCCTGTGACCGCTGCACTGCTGCTCTGCTGCTCTGCTGGGCCTGGATGGAAACCATTTTCATCCTATTGCTGAGTTATTGATGCTTCAACATGTCATCGTTACTGCATTCATTCTCATAGCGGAGGCGCTTGACAAGACCTTTCTGAGGAACGTTCTCCCGTTCGTAAGGAGTCATTTTCAAGCTGGAGAAGAATGAAGGATTCGACATCTCTGAAGGACAAATTTCTCTAATCTGAAACCGAAGATTAGAAATGTCTCGTACTCTTCCCTGCGCACTTAAGTGTGACGTTGGTGTGTAACTGTGCGTCCGGAACAAAGATTTAATTTGGAACTACGAAGAAACACAGCTCTGTTGCAGCCATGTCTTGGTGGAGGCACCAATCACAGATGGGGTATCTACATTTTCATAATGTGAAGGGCGGAATCGTTGGACACAGAGGACTTGAGGGTCCCTTCAGGGCTACTCAGTTGGTTTGCTCTTTGATATGGCTGGGACTGCTGCTGCTGCAGGTGTCGGCTCAGAAACTGGATGAAAATGACCCGGTGGTCACCACCACCTACGGCAGGCTGCGAGGGGTCAAGAAGGAGCTCAACAATGAGATCCTGGGTCCCGTCGTGCAGTTTCTCGGTGTCCCGTATGCCGCTCCGCCTACCGGCGAGCGCCGCTTTCAGCCACCGGAGCCGCCGACGTCGTGGTCCGACGTCCGCAACGCCACCCAATTTGCCCCCGTGTGTCCTCAGAGCATCATGGAAGGGCGCCTCCCCGACGTGATGCTGCCAGTGTGGTTCACCAACAGCATTGATGTTGTGTCCACGTACGTCCAGGACCAGAGTGAGGACTGCCTCTATATGAACATTTATGTCCCCACTGAGGATGGTGAGTTAACCTGAAG